TGGTCGATGAGAACTATAAATGGTTGGCCTTATAAATAAGGGCGAAATTTCGCCACTGACCACACCAGCGCTCTGCGATGGAATAATGCCGTTCCGAGGGGGACAGCAGCCTGCTAGCAAAAGATGTCACGCGATGCTGCCCACGTTGTCGTTGAGCCAACACATCACCTATTTCATAACCATTGACATCGGTGTGGACTTCGGTCGGTGAAGTAGGGTCCAAGTGAGCCAGAACAGGAGAGAAAGGGAGCAAAGTGGTGATATCGGAGAGAACTGCTGCTTGCGAGGGACCCCAAGTAAAAGTTTCATCTGGTTTGTGTGAATCCGTAGAGGCCGAGCAATTTCCGCAACGTTCTTGATGAACCTCCGAAAGTAGGAGCAGAGCCCCACAAAGCTGCGGACATTTTTGGCGGTTTTCGGCACAGGAAAGTCCTTCACAGCTCAAACTTTTTTCTGGGTCAGGATGTTCGTTGTTGCGTCGACAATATGCCGAAGTATTGTAATGCAGCGGTGACCGAACCGGCACTTGGATGAATTTAGTTGAAGGCTGGCGAGACGGAATACATCAAGAATTCGGGACAGTCTCTCAAGGTGTGCTTCACAATTGGGAGCAAACACACCAGATAACAAAGACACGTAGACAACTTGAATTCATGAAGTAGGGAGTCCATCATTCATTCGAAGGTTGCAGGGGCATTAAAAAAGCCGAAAGGCATGACCTTGAATTTGTAGAGGCCACTAGGTGTTACAAAAGCCGTCTTCTCTCGGTCCATGGGTCCACGGCAATCTGCCAATAACCAGAACGAAGGTCAATTGAAGAACAGCAGGCAGCACCATGGAGGCAATCAAGGGCACCATGAATTCGTAGCAGACGGCAGGCGTCTTTCTTTATCATGTTGTTAACGTGGCCATAGTCAAGGCAAAACTGCCACTATCTGTCCTTCTTTTTAACTAAAACCACCGTGTATGCCCAGAGATTGGAGTATGGTTCAATAACGTCTTTCGCTAGCATCTTGTTCACCTCGTTCCGAATGATGCTCCGCTCAAAAGCAGACACTCTGTAGGGACGGCGGTGAATAGCGTTGGCATCACTTGTGTGTTTGTGATGCTATACAAAGGACGTTTTCCTTAAAGGTCGGTCGCCAAAACCGAAAATATCCTGGTAGGCCTCGATAAGACAGTGTAGGGCTTCAACTTGTGAAGGTGGATGGTCGGTGGCGATCCTCTCTACAATTTGACGGCTGCCCAAATGTGCTGCGAGCAGTATGTGCTGTGTTAGAACAAGGGTGTATAAGGCAAGCACTTCGGTTTTTAAACTGAACAATGAACAAAGGTGGGCCACAGAAATGCCTTGTGGAAGCACTTGATTAATGTAGCCGAAATTTACAATTGGTAGACGGGTTCTGTTAGCTGCGATGCTGAGCAACGTGTAAAGAACTGCAACATTATGGGCAAGGAGTACGTTGGTGAGAGGCATAGCGCAATAGCCGCCGTCGGGCACAACTTGTGAACACAAGAAAACGACATACGTCACAGTTTTGGAGGGCAGCTGAACAAAGTTACTGCATTGTAATAGGTATTTAGGTTCGTACGATTGTCCCTGTTTTGTGACAGTTTGAGGCGGAGCATGCCAGCGGAGCCATCAATCAGAGAAGAATTGGTGGCAATAAAATTGAGGGCTAGTATGAGGTCGTGGGGACATGTTTCAAGGACGGTAAAAAGGATGACCACTTGATGGCCGGCTACTGTAAGTTAGGCTATGTACATACCGACGACAGAGATTGTTGCGCCTTCTGCAACTTGCACGACACTAGTCAAGCGGGGCGTCAGGAACTTCTTCATGTGACGGCGAAATGCGAACTCATAATAGAGATGTAAGCACCCGTGTAAATCGAAGCTTCAACAGGTGTGCCATCAATATATACTTCAAGGGTGTTCCGGTTGAAACGTAAGGGCAACAGAGAATTTTCAGGTAAGGTCGGCAGGGCAGCTTCACCTCCAGAAGCTGCGCAGCCTAGTTTTCGGGGACATGTGGTGGTTAAGAGACGGTGAGTGAGAGTGTTGATGCGTATTTGAACGAGATGGGTGGCTTTGAGGCGGCGGCGACGACGGGACGGGGCCCCTGTAGTCTTCCGGGGCAGTAAATGCTGTAGACTCAGTACGGGTCGGATAACGGTGGTTCGATGGACGGAACGAGTTACTGTAAGTGCGGTACGGGCCAGAAGGCATAGATGGCCACTGGCTTCGGCAGTAACGAGTAATGTATCCCCATCACAGCGGAAGCAGATTGGCTTATCATCTACTGTTCGCCATTCAGACGGGTTCCTGGTTTGAAGAGAGTACGGATGGTGACGTGTCATGTCGACAGAAGCTATCGAGGGATCAGTATTATCCATGGCGGGTGCAGTGAACAGGATACCCACGTTAGCACATTCCAGGTGGACTACAGCCTGGATCAAGGCGGCAGCTGGCGTTGAAGCGTCGGGCAACGTTGGTTTGCTGGCAACCGGGTAAGCGGCCTCGAGTTCACGTCGGGTGATGCGCGTCACGTCTTCGATTGTAGATGGCTGACAAGGAGTGGTTTCGCAAGACGACGTTGCAGCGGTGTTGGGTAGGTGCTGGAACTGGTGCAAAATTCGTGAACTCTTCGCCTGCTTGAGATGGCGGCACTCTTTTATAATGGCGTCGATGGTCGTTACGTTTGTAAAGCCATGCAGGTTTAACGCATCGTCAACAATTCCTTTCAAAATGTGCGATATCTTGTCAGCCTCAGTCATATTGAGATCGGCCCTTTGACACAAGGCTAAGACGTCTTGAATATAAGTCAAGTAGGGCTCGGTGAACATGTGTACATACGGTCAATTGATGCCCGAAAGTACACACACATACATGTGTGTACTGTTGTTTAAACATTTCCCAGCTTGTGACTTCGTGCTCGGGGGTCTCAAACCAGATGCGAGGGTCTAGTAAAGATAATATCTGACATTCGCAAGCATAACGGTTGGGTCGCAGACATATTGCTTGCTGACGCGCTCGTACATACTCAGCCACTTGTCAACATTCGCGTTGTTGCCTCCAGTAAAGGTACGGGGATCACGGGGTTGCGTTAAGGTGACGTACGGGATTGATTTTATTGCCGATATAAGTGGTAAAGGCCTATTTTCACCTGGAGCCATGGCAGCAGACTTAAGGAGGCGTCCACTGCGTAGTGCCGTCGTCAAAAAAGTACCCTGCACCTCCACCAAAATGTTATGTGGACATAACAGTATACAGTCCGCAGCCACAACACAGCTCACCAACAATGTCAACCTCTTCACCTTCAGTCTGAGGCGCCCTTTTACGGTATGACTCGTCATGCCCTGTTACCGTCAGCGGAAACCACGAAACAATAAACTACAGCCGGACGACCAATTATGCTGACAAGCTGAGACGCTTTAGTGTTTCGCATTCAAAAAATTACTCATCTCTTCCTACGGGCAGCCGTGGTGAGATGCGAAAGCATCGTGAGGGGTGGACAACAAGTTTTTGTTTCGTTTGACTTGGTAACATAACCCAATTCAATATTTCAGAAGGGAGGAGACGTATGTACGGGGTTGTTGAGTCAGTATTTAGAGATCGTACATTATTGCTGGCGTCGGTGCAAGTGGTATCTCGAAGAAGATGGCTTTGTGGTCAGTCAAGTGCAGTGTCAATGGGTCTTCCTGCAGAGGTTCAAGTTTGAAATTTTCTAACACGAGGTGTATGCACGTTCCCCCGATGATGATGTGTCACTTGTGATCTTGGGAAACGCATCGCAAAGAGCATACGTCTTTTATGGGCTGCACCAGGCGATTGCTTGTCATTATGTTCACGTTCAAGTCCTGTGCGAGTATGAGGGACCCGCACCCACGCCTATTATAGGTCTTGGCGTCCTCCACCATGCTCCTTGCGATGTGAAGTTCGACACTATCTATCGAGATGTTGAGTTTGAGGTGCAGCGTTGACGTTTACGTTTGGCTTCTCTGGCCCGAAGTTCGGGGTCCGCTTGCCGACGCTGGCGTCTAAGCTCGGCTTTCCAAGCCTTCCTATGATCTGTGGTGGTGGCGCAGCCTTTGCAACTAGAGTCGACGTTGACATTGTTCATGGCGCTTTGCACACCGTTGTGCAGGAAGAAAATAACGGAAGCACAGCAAATGCGCGCTATATATGAGATAGAGAGTCTGATAGATATATGCAATAATTCGATGCACCGCACCTGTGGCGGGGAGGAGGAGAAGGGAGGAGGATAGCGCACACCTGGGTAGAGGGGGGGAGGATGAGGGAGAGTTGCGCATGCGCAGTATGGGTGCACACGCCGAAGAACGGACACTGCCCACGGCATCATATGCTCTCGCATCTGAAAAAAAAAAAAAAAACCTGGACAGCTCAGTGGTTGATACGCTCCTCTTCGGGAACGCGGTTTCAAACCTCGCTTAAACAAGAGATGTTTCTCCAAGTATTTCTTTCTTTTCGTATCTTTATTTCGCTTTCTTTCTCCGCGCTTGTTCTCTCGCCTATCACAGCTCTGCCTCTACATAAATGCTCCACCAGGTTTCGTGACGCATTCAACATCATCAAGCCACCCTGCCGGTCATCGTGACGCATTCTGCGCACGCAGCAGGCGCATTAGATCAAGCAATTACCCGTGCTTGGGAAAAATTGAACACTGAATTCTTCCCACTGTCAGAGTAAGATACAATAGGCCCACCATGTTGTCGTGTAGCCATTTTTATTATAAATGTTTTTGGCTTGTGGCAAAATGTTAAAGTCATTGTTTATTACAACTTGCAAGTGTAAGGACATTGACTTTTACCTTTCCATCTAGGGAAGAGGTTTGCTTGTAGTTAGGTATCAGTGAGCCCGTGCATTAGTTCGAAATAAATTCAGTACGACCGTGTCGGTCTTCGTGATTGTATGTACGTATGTCATATCGGTAAAGGTAAGTTGCATTGATTACGTACTTTCTTTCGTTCTTCTTGCAGACAAACCGCAGCTGGTGGTGCGACTGGGTAATCGCCTTCGGCAGAGCAGCATTCTGGAGAACCACGACGTGTACTTGGAGTGCAGTGTGGCAGCCAACCCACACGTCAGCGAGATCAGCTGGCTGTTCGAAGGCCGAGACCTGCAGACCAACACGTCCGCAGGGATCATCGTCAGCAACCGCTCACTCGTGCTGCAAAAGGTGAGACGAGCAGGCTGCGCAAAGAAGAAACGTTTGCAGCTACGTACGCCCAAAGAAGACAGAAGATTTGGCAGTAAGGTGCGCTTTGCACTTAACAGTGGGTGTCAGACATGATGACAACTTCAGTTTGAATAGCTCGGTGAGGAGCATCAGTAGTGGTTTATGTGGGGTCGCTTCTAGATTATGGGTGGCTCGCGAATGGAAAGAAATGTCCGGGGCTAATAATGGCCCCGAAAATGTAGGTGACTTGCACTGACGTCACTGAAACAGCCACGTTGCATCACCAACATGGTGGGACGTGAACTTTGTGATATCGCGTTAGTACTATCAGTGCATTGCATGCCGATTCTTTCATTATTCGCGCGCAGGGGACCAATGGCTTTGCAGTCACATCGTTATTATACTGAAGCGGGTTAATCGCTGCGTGAATATACGCCTGACGTCGTCTAAGCCTCCATGTTAAAGCCATGCTATGCGTCCATGGCGTGATGCGTAAGATATCCATCAGTTTGCTCTAGATGGGCTTTTGTCTCCAAAGAGCGCTTTAAAATAAACTTTCTTTTTTTTGTTTAAATAAACTCTATATAAGCAGACGTTGGGGACAATGCATGTTGTAGGCTACACCCATGCTCTTGCACAACATCTTACTCAACAGCCAGACCATACAGTTCGCCGCCAGGGCTTTACGAAGAAGGTGAATGAGTGTACAAAGTTTATAGTGCATTGGCTCAGCGTTGTCATTTAGTGACGGAAGATACATCGTGTTTCTGAAATTCAGACCGAAAACTAGGCAGATTCACATCATTGCTGCTGGGTAACAATTACCTGGGCTGTATTTTTTTCGCGAATGACCTCGCTCAGTCATTGTAGACAAGCTGTTATGAAAGCGCACTTGAAATGGAGCAGCAGCCGACACTGCGCAGCGTGTGACGCAGCCCGAAGTTCTGCCTTATGTGCACAAAGTGTCGCACTCACTCAAGACAGCCTCTGGGAAATAGGGAGTTCCGACTCTTATTTTGGCCCCAAAGAGGCTGTACATACTTCGCCCCCGCATTAGAGGGAAGAGGACGACAGCACCTTATGCAAAAGCACAGCCGGTATGTAATATGCAGTTCTGCTTATAGTTGTGGAAAGGTCTGCATAGGTTAAATGGGAAGCTGCTGTCACCGTGTCACTGCTTAAATATGGCCACCAAATTCTACGACAGAATTACTGGCTGCTGTTCTTTAAACAGAACCGTTTGCGCCCAGCCCATTGTGCTGTCGCGTAAGTTTGCACAATTCATGGTCAAAACGGATGTACTTGAATAGTTTTCGAACAAGGTTTGTTTTACTTCGGCGTAGTTCTGAACACTGTAGGTGCATAAATTTTGCCGAAAAAGCATCGCCATAAACTGCTCCGTTACAGTGATATATGAAATGCGTAAATTTAAATAGGCGTTCGCCAGGCATTCAAAAATATTTATTGTTGTGGAAATTTTGTTGCCTCGCGATTTCGTTAATGCGGGTTTTTACCATTCTGAGTAGTTCATCGGCTACTTAAAGGCAAGCTTTCATCTGTAAGCGGAATAAGCTTTTATATTCACATGCCCTAATAATCACGACAGAGCAGCGAAAACCCTGAAGCTCCTAGCAAACGGCGTTTTTCCGAAGGGAAATAGGGAGAAGTACTCACTTCACATCTGCCCGTAAAAAGTTGTGCCAGTGGGAATTTCAGTTGAAGCTGCGGAGGAGACGCGATCATTTCGCACGGCATCACGTAGTGTATGTGCTATGGGGGACTTTTGTTCTTGGCGCATATAAAAACGCCTGTGTAAAGAACCATAAACACGATACGAGATTACCTCTCGCGCAAGATGTTAGCACGAAAGAAAATGTGCATACGTGATAAGTCGCACGTGATTGAATCTGCCCATTCCTGAGAGATTGAGAAACATCCTTTTTGACGAAAAATATATGTACACTTTCCTTTTTATTCCATAATGTTTAGTACTTATTCAAAAGTAGTCTGCGTGAGGGTCCGACCCGCTATATGAATTTACAGTCAAGAAGTTTAAAGGAGCCCTGAAATGATTTTTACATTTTTTTACAAACACATCGGGCTTGTAGGACAAGTCCCAATGGCAATTTAAAGAAAAATTTGAGCTATCTGCGTAAACTCTGTAATTTATATAACAATTTAAAGCTGCGAATCGCTCTAGATCGCTGCAGACCGCTGCGACTCAGCCAAACGCGTTTTCAACCGCCCATACACTAAGTGACATGCTCTGCCCCACTGATGTAATCGTTTACAGCTGATCTGAGTGGCTGTGGAACGCGCAGAGCAGACCATCGGCGTGATTTACGCGTATGCGATCTCACGCCACACTGTCACTCAGGCGCCGTAAAGGTGGAGCTTGGCCCCGAGTGCTCGAAGGAAAAGTTTAAAGCAGTTGAGGGTGAATGGCGGAGTGGAAAAGGAGGGTACTTCTTTAGTACTCGTAACTCAGTTAATAATGGTTGTTTTTATTGAGCTCTGCATGGTGCGAACAGTTTGCTCCAGTAGTGGTCTAACCAAAAATGAAATGTTAAAAAACTGTTTCAGGGGCCCTTTCTGCTCTTTTCTGCGGAAATACTTATACGCAATGAATATTCCTAAGGTAATGCGTGAAGAAATCCATGAATTCCGCATAAATACAGCAATTATAGAATAATATAAAGAGGAAATCAAGAGCAAATGGTACAAGAAAAAATCATCCAGTATGCGTGTGCGTTGAAGTGTAAATCTATGTTTAAAAATTTGTCTTATTCCTTCTTCTAGGAATTGGTATAACGCGGAAATGAAACGTGTCTTCACAGAAGTAGTTGAGCGTTCATTGTGCATTGTTTTGCCACAATGCCCAAGCATGAATGCTGCCGCAACAAATTGCAGTCAAGAGACGAGCCGTAAATAGCCCGAAGTTAGCAGCACGCATCTCAAGCTTCTAGAAAGCACGCCAGGAATGAGCATACACATGGCGACTGCGGGATAACAACTGTCAGACACATAGAGCATGCTGTTCAAACAGAAAGAGAGGTGCACGAAACGAACGCACGAGTATACACTGGACAAGCGCGAGCAACTGTCACAATAGGTGACCAGTAAAAGAGCGAGAGATTGTGGGATGCATCATCTGCTACCGGCTTCTGGTTCGAGAAGAGTAGACGACGGTGAACCACTTTGCCACAAGCCTCAGATTATTCAGGATTCCCGCGCGCAGTCGTCCATTTATCTTCGTCCTAATAAACCAATATCGGTTGTTCAGCCTTTGGCTGCTCCAACTCGAGTGTGAAAGGCGAACGCCGGTAATAATTCACATGTAATGAAAGAAAAATGAGGTGGGCCGCGACTGTGAAGAGAGCCACAGTGACATGTAGCCTTTGAGTACGGAACATTCAAGCCAGAGTGCGCGAAAACAATTTTATCACAGGTACGTGTGTATTCTACGCTAAAAAAGCTTACACATGAATTTGCTGTGAATATTATATTGATAAATAAAATGTCGCGCAGGCGCGCCTAGAGGATATATTATGGGAACGATCGGACGAAATCTACCTGCTATACGAGATGAGCGCTGGCAATTGCAACCATATCATCATCATCATCATCATCATCATCATCATCATCAGCCTGACTATGTTCACTGCAGGACAAAGGCCTCTCCCATGTTCCGCCAGTTAACCCAGTCCTTTGCTTGCTGCTGCCAATTTATACCCGCAAACTTCTTAATCTCATCTGCCCACCTAACCTTCTGTCTTCCCCTAACTCGCTTGCCTTCTCAAGTAGCACCCATATAGTATATGACAAAAAACGCGAAAGGTTCACTCAAGAGAAAGTTTACACAAGTGCTGGACGAATTCATTTCCGTTTCCTTTGGTTAAACTGTGCTCCAGGACGGCACCCAAAAGAAGAAGTGCGTTAAACAAAACCAGGGTTTCGATTATTCGACGCCGTCTATGTCTCACTGTATTGTTTATGTGCCGCCGTGCCGCGCAGCTTCATCAAGATCAGCGTTCAAATAAGCATCTGACTTCGACCAAGAAATGTAACTTAAAGCACGCGGAAGGCTAGAAAAAAATAAATATCTCAACGCGCACAAATATTAACATTTAAAACCTAGAAAGAATTCAAAGGAAAGCAGTATGGTTTATTTATAGTCAATTTAAGTCAACCGACTTCGCTACGGTACTACTAACTGCAAGTAGTATTGAATTATTAAAAACACGGAGAAAATAATGTCTAAACTGTCTTTCCGGAATAGTAAACCACAGGCTATCCTTGGAGACCGCAGCGTATAGGTTTTCCTCTTGTTAAGCAGACCCACTCGGCACCACTATCCTCAATCCCTAACGCCAATCTTCGCAAGGACTGACAGTTTTCGCTACTCCTTTTCCCCACAAATTATAGCTGATTGGAATAAACTAACGGAAGCATTCCCCGAACGGCCGTGACTGTTTGTACAAATACAGTTTTTTTTTTACTTCCTTATAAATCATCATGACCAAGTTGTGTTTTTTTTTCGGCTTACAACCAGAATCATTTTGTAAAATTTCTTTCCTGTTACTGTTAAGTATTTTGCTCACCTTGCTTAGACTTTTGGCCGCAGTATTTGTAAATAAATAAAATAAAATAAAATAGTTGCTGCTCTTCATGCTGATAAACTGAATATGTCGGCCGAAGCAGCGATGCCGAAATGAACTCTTAGCACACTGCTACGGTCATCTCCATCCCCGAAGATCTTTGAAATGGTGTTTTTTATCTGCAGTAACGTATCATACCGTGAAAACTGTTTTCTGTGTCGACTGATCTGCTAGCCAAACTGGCAATGCCCCCGAGCAGCATAAAAGCATTGCAGATCATTTCAGTGCTAAAAAAGTTTTCTTACCATTCATGGCTTTCGTAGCTTGTCATCGTCACAGTCATGGTTAGCGAAAACAAAAAAAACAACTTCTAAAGCACTGGCAATGCACGGAGTGGTGCTT